CTTTAAAAGTTAATTTTTGGTCAAGTATTAATCCAAGATATTTCACTTGGTTTGACCAGGAAATTGGAGCTCCGTTCATAGTGACTATGTGACTATTACTAGGTTTCAAAAACGAAGCTCTAGGCTTATGTGGAAATATTATAAGTTGAGTTTTGGAAGCGTTGGGAGAAATCTTCCATTTTTGTAAATAAGAAGAGAAAATATCTAAACTTTTCTGCAGTCTGCTGCAAATAACACGAAGACTTCTTCCTTTAGCGGAAATGCCTGTGTCATCAGCGAACAAAGATTTGTGGCAACCCTGAGGCAAATCAGGGAGGTCCGAAGTGAAAATGTTATACAATATAGGCCCAAGAATGCTACCCTGAGGAACTCCTGCCCTAACAGGTAGTCGATTAGATTTGGAATTTTGATAATTTACTTGAAGAGTTCTGTCAGTTAAATAATTTTGAACTAATTTCATAATATAAAGTGGAAAATTAAACTTTTTCAATTTAGCAATCAAACCTTCATGCCAAACACTGTCGAATGCTTTTTCTATGTCTAGAAGAGCAACTCCAGTTGAGTGGCCTTCAGATTTGTTTGAACGAATTAAATTGTTAACTCTTAAGAGTTGATGAGTAGTTGAATGCCCATGGCGAAATCCAAACTGCTCATCTGCAAAAATTGAGTTCGTATTGATGTGAAGCATCATTCTATTCAAAATTATCTTTTCAAAAAGTTTACTTATTGAAGAAAGCAAACTTATTGGGCGGTAGCTAGAAGCTTCAGCTGGATTTTTATCCGGCTTCAAAATTGGAACAACTTTTGCATTTTTCCATTTATCAGGAAAGTATGCCAAATGGAAACATCTGTTAAATAATTTTACCAAGAAAGACAAGGTACTCTCTGGGAGTTTTTTGATGAGGATATAGAAAATTCCATCATCACCTGGAGCTTTCATATTTTGAAAATTTTTAGTTATAGACCTTACTTCGTCCAAATCAGTCCCCCAGGAATCATCAAAAATATTTTCCCGAGAGAAAATATTCAGAAAATCCCGAGCAACCTGATTCTCAATAGGACTAGTAAGACCCAAACTGAAATTATGGGAACTCTCGAATTGCTTAGCAAGTTTCTGAGCTTTTTCCAAATTTGTGATCAAAATTTTACCACCTTCTTTAAGCGCTGGAATAGGCTTTTGAGGTTTTTTCAAAATTTTTGTGAGTTTCCAAAAGGGTTTGGAACTCGGGTCTAATTTAGAAATATTATTTTCAAAAGTTTTGTTCCTCAGGGCAGAGAATCGCTTTTTAATTTGTTTTTGCAAATCCCGCCAGATAACTTTCATGGCAGGATCGCGTGTTCTTTGATATTGTCTCCTACGGACATTTTTAAGACGGATCAAGAGCTGAAGATCATCGTCTATTATAATTGAATCGAATTTAACCTCGCATTTTGGTATTGAGGCAGCTCTTGCTTCAACTATAGAAGTAGTCAGAGATTCAAGAGCATAATTTATTTCATCTTTGGTTTGCAAAGGAATGTTTGGATCGAAGTTATATTCCATAAATGTTCGATACTGCTCCCAATCAGCTCTATGGTAATTGAAAGTAGAGCTGTTGGGATTAGAAATTATTTCTTGGGATATTTCAAAAGTTACTGGAAGGTGATCAGAACCGAAGTCAGCATGGGTAACCAATTGGCTGCAAAGTTGACATGAATCAGTTAAGACCAAATCAATAGTGGAGGGATTTCTTGCAGAAGAAAAGCATGTTGGGCTGTTTGGATATTGAATAGTGTAATAACCTGCAGAACAATCATCAAACAGAATATTACCATTGGAATTGCTTTGAGCATTATTCCATGAGCGGTGTTTTGCATTAAAATCACCAATAATGAAGAATTTAGACCTATGACGGGTAAGTTTCTGGAGGTCACCCTTGAGAAAATTCTTTTGCTGGCCCACGCATTGGAATGGCAAATAGGCAGCTATAAACGTAAGTTGTCCAAATTTTGTTTCAACAGAAACTCCCAAAGTTTCAAAAACTTTGGTTTCAAATGAAGAAAGAATTTTATGTTTGATTCGTCTATGAATAATGATGGCAACGCCACCACAGGGTCCATCAAGACGATCATTTCTATAAATCAAGTAGTTTGCGTCCTTCTTAACCTTATGGGCAGGTTTAAGGAACGTTTCAGTTATAACGGCAATATGCACGTTATGAACTCTTAAAAAGTTAAATAGCTCGTCTTCATTATCTTTAAGAGATCGAGCATTCCAATTTACAATATTTAATGCTTTAAAATCCATTACTGAATTTTAAAGTCATGACAATATTATTTGCAAATTTTACTCCAGTTTGAATAGCATCAAACATGGAGTTAGATTTAAGCATATCAGAAATCATGTCAATTAATGAATTCTGTAAAAATTCCATTTTGGGGGCAGTAATGCTTCCTAAGTCAAAATTGTCAAAATTTCCGTTAGAACGTTGGTTAGTATTTTGATTTCTACCCGCTGCAATAGCAGCATAGGTAGCTCCATTAACTCGCTGAACATTGTTAGCAGCGAGGGGAGTAGGTACAGATGAAACATTTGAAGCAGGGGAGATATTTGTACCTACGGGTACGAATGTAGAATTTGTTCCTCGCTGACCGTTGTTAACAGCAGAGGAATTTGTACCTGGTCGGAAACGTGGAGCGTTTCCTACCTGACGGTTAGAACGAGATTGTAGGATCGCTTTGCGAGTCTTACATTCCCAAAAATTGGATTTGTGGTTTTCACCACAATTTGAACATTTAAATTTCTTAGGATCTTCCTTCACAGGACAGTCGTCCTTTGCGTGAGAGGAATCACCACAATTCATGCATTTAGCTGGCATGTAGCAATTTTTAGTTCCGTGACCCCATCCCTGGCACTTACGGCACTGGGTGAGGTTTTGGAAATTTCCTCCAGTCTTCCTGAAGTGTTCCCACTTCACTCGGACATGGAGCATAAGGCTAGCTTTTTCTAAGGCCTTAAGGTTGTTTAGTTCACTAGACTTGAAGTGAACTAAATAAAAATCATTAGAAATCCCGTTGCGCGAATCGCCAGGACGGGATTTCATTTTCATTTTGATTACTTGGAGTGGCACAACTCCAAGTAATTTTGCCAGTTCATCTTTGATCTGATCCAGGGATTCACCACTGGGCAGTCCTTTCATGACAACCTTGAACACACGTTCAGTTTTGGTGTCGTAAGTAAAAAATTTGTGCTTCTTCTCAGTAAGATACTTGAGAAGACATTTAAATCCGTCCAAGGTTTCAGCCAATACACGGCATTCACCCCGACGTCCAATTTGTAGTGAAAACTTAACTTTCACGAAATTCAAAAGTTCCATGCGAAGAGCATGGAAATCGGTAGTGGTTATCACAATAGGGGGAATCTTTTCCTTCTTGGCATTAAGCCGGGAAAGTTTACTAGAATTTTTCTTGGACGATGGATCATTCTCATCATCCGTGAGCAAATCAAATTGATTACTCAAATTAATTTCATCAGAAGGGGGGTCAAGAGTTTGCCCCTTTCTTTTGCGTTTAGGCGCCATGGCGGCAGTAAATTTTTATCCAATTCGACTTCCAAGCAGATTACTATAAGAATCTGAAGGATCGAAGAGGAATTTTCCAAATCGATATCCAAGAAGGATTACCTCGGGTAGGGTCCAAACAAGGATCGAAGAGGAATAAGAGTTGGAACAAGGTAGAAAATTTTTACAGGTTGAGTACTGAAAAGTGCTGTTTAAATTTGTTGTAGCTTTAGGTAGTAGTAACACTTCCTTCAGCAAAAAGCAAATAGATCCGCACGGCAAGAGAGCACGATGCGGACTGATCGCCTTCAGTTTAGTTTAGTGATCACACAATTGAAATTCGCTAAACTAGTTTGCAAAATATCAACTAGGAGCTGCAAGGTTCACAAGTTGGAGGACATATTTATTGATCAACATTGATAAATCGACAATTAACAAATGCATTTATGTACATTAATCAAGTTCCATACTCTCACAGCCATCAACTCTGGTCACAGTCATTTACGAGATCGTAAATCGATTAGGACAGGCTGCGTGCGTGCAATAAATTTTGCACTTCGATCCGATCTATAAGCTTCTTTGGGGCTGATTGGTTTGTCCTGGGCTAGTGTGATTGAGAAATGAAAAGTTGTTTATTTATTCGAGTAAGCCGCTTAGGAAAATGGCCTGTGACTAATTTGTACGGTTTGTGCCCCGGTTCCTACGGAGCAGGGTTTGCAATACTTTGTGACAATAAGGTGTGAATCGACGCTTAGTAAGGGCTCAGAGCAGCAGCGTTAGTTAGAAATATAAAATGGTTTGCGTTGATTATCGTTTCACTCCAGTGCTTGCAGTCTGTCCAGAAGAAAGTTGACTCTTCATCTCAATATCATCATGATGTAGGTTGTGACATTTAGCAGTCTTACGCTTGGGTCGTAAAAATTAGTTTACTGCCAGAGTTGTTCGAGGCGAGACACCGCTAATAGCATTAAACTATAAAAATACGCGAGTAGTGATATTTCCTTCTCAAGCAATGCTCGGGTAGAGATGCAAGCAGAAACTCATCGGCGCTGTTAACCTTTTAATAAGATTAAATTCACCGACGGGAAGTCTACACTAACTATGGATCCTAATTGAATAAGAGCGCATTGGACAAGAAGAAAGTCAACCTCCATCCGAAGTTTTCTTGCTCATGAGTTTCAGTTTACTGTGGAAAATCCTGTTGTAGTCTTAAAAATTCAATTCACCAGTTGCATGCTCAGGAAAGGAGACACTCCAAACGACGACTTAATCCGTGAAATCACAGAAAATGGCATCTATAAAAGTTGATGTTTCGTGCAATGACGCGCATAGAAGCATTCTCTGTACTGCAGTCATCAAGGTACTTCTTTGCAATAACCAAACAGAAGGGAAGAAAGCAGCTCTTGCAGAATGAGTCAATTTGGCGGTATCTTATTAGTTTATATGGCCACTTGCACTTACCGTAATCTCTTTTGCAGAACTTGTTTAGATTTAGCCGCTTGGTGCCGATTTTGCACTTTCCGCACTCTGGAATGAAAGATACAAAAAATAGAAAAGAAAATCTCCTATTAAACTTTTTAATCGCATAAGTAGGTACGTTTCACTCTTGATTATTTAAGCGTTTGTTAGTTCGATCGGCATGGATCGATTCTTCTGAGTGTACTTCAAATTCGTTAGTTATAATTTAATGGATGAGGTTGCTTCGAGAAACTTTTAAAAATAGATTTCAGTAGGTGGGACAGTTATGAAAATGTATATCATAAATGCGACATAAATGAACAAAAAAACAAGTTCTATGTATTTATATTTCATAAAACTAATTTTATTTAATTCTATCATTCATATGTGATTTAATGTGTGGTATGATGAGTTTTGGCTGATGTCATGACTAGCATTGGGCGATCTTGAGGCAAGAATCGATTTTTTTTTTAAAATAATCGATTCACCGATTTAATCAATCATTTTGAATCGATTTTTTTGAATCGATCTTTTGAATCGATTTATTTTGCAAAATGGCACAACTATGTTTCAAATATAACGGATCTTAGGAAAGTTGGTGCAAATTAAGCCAAATTCAGTCTAGAGTTGATATTACGTTACATAAGCTATCTTGTTATAACATTTCACCTATAATAGTAATTTAGTGTGATGATTGATAGATATTTTTTAGAAATAAATTGTGCAGTACGTACGCAGTAAATGTTGTGAGTGTAACATACATCACTGCTGGTCATTAAAATAGGTGTAGGCAAAATAAATGCGAAATTTTAGGTTATGTTCATTCAACTTAATTTTATTCGACTTTAAAGTTAAGCATTTGATAGTGTAATAAAAATTAAGTAATTGCACGAGAAAACTCAAAGTTAAAACATCAAATGACTCACTCATAAGAATCTTATATAAATATGCCTGGTCCGTGAAATGGAACACACCATAAAACTATAGTATAGAAAGCTTGAAAATAATCACATAAGTTTTATTAGACAAATGACGCTTAGTAACCGCTGTGCCCTCCATTGTTAAGTAGAACCTTGTTCAATCTTCTTGGCATTAACTCAACCAAGGACTGACAAGTTTCCTTTGGTATGGCATACCACTCTTTTTGAACTGTGGTCCATAGTTGATCCTTATTTGAAAATGCTTGACCAGATAACTTTCATTTATGCTCGTTCCATAAATTTTCGATGGGGTTGATGCCAGGAGATTGACTAGGCCATGAAACCTCGGAAATAACCGACACTTTGTTTGCACGAAACCATTCCTTTACATACTTAGAAGTGTGTTTCGGATCGTTGTCTTGCTGAAAATGCCATATAAGAGGCATGTGCTCTTCTGTATAAGGGAGCATAGTCTCCTCCATGATTTCTTTGTATTCAAATCTGGTCATGATGGAATCAATACGGAAAATGGGACCTACTCCATACCAAGAAAAAACAGCCCCAAACCATGATGCTACCACCTCCATGCTTTACGGTTTTAACGTCTACGTAAGAATATAGTAAATGACTATTTTGCTTTCATTTGACGTGTGGAAGTTTTTGCTCAGCATACTGTGTTAGGTAAGTGATAATATTCGTTTTATTGGTATTAAATGAACGATTTAAAAAACGAAAGATTAACATATGAAACAAAACGATTAGATGGTCGGAGTGTAAAAGTAAGTAAGTACGATATCCCAAAACTCATCCGAGAGGGATCCCAAGAAAGCTAATTGAGCCATGCGTCTTGCATTGAGCTGATATCGATTCTGAGTGGTTTCACCAGTTTTGAAGAATAGCCTCTCGGACGGAACGCTTGTTACCATTCTTGATAAATAGTCTCAAGCAATGGGGTTTACATGGGGATATACACTACGGATTTTCTCCCATCATCGAAAAAGATCGACAGAACGTGGAAAAACGGGCTGATGCAATACATTTTGTATTTCTGCCGATATGCCCCATGGTGATCCAATTTTGACATAGCAGAGGACTGATGAACGTGTCAGGGCCTTATGTTGGCTTTATACCAGGCTACCGTGTCCTTGGACTAATGAACTGACACCAAATCCGGCTAAATCAGTACTGTGGCGTCGTGTTTGCGGATCATGGGTAAGAGACGTTTGCTTAAACACTCACGCACGTAAACATCGGTTGTCGTTGTTTCCGTTGTCACAAACGGTTTGGAAAGCATATCATACTCACAAATGGCTTGCGGTCGGTGAAAGTCGACTTATACGCGTCGTCAACACTTCGGCCATAACGAATGCAGGGCTGTTACAACAGGCGCGGATTTCGCGAATTTCGCGGATTTTGCGATTTTCGCGGATTTGTTGCGGATTTGAATTTTCAGTCGCGAAAATCGCGGAAACATTAAATAATGTCGAGAAAATCACGAAGGGATTGATGTGCTGTCACAAAAATTGTGGAATTCATTGTAACCTTTCCGTCCCGGACTATTTTTCTGTCATCAATTTTGTTGTTCATTTGGCTCTCAATTTTTTACCGGTTCAAACCAAACACCGTGTAAATAATCGAGAAATGATCTCAATTCAATAGGTCACACCGGATTTACACGGAAATTCCCTAAGTCTGTCCAATGCAAGTCGTTTTTCTTTTTTTCCAAGGTGAACATAGCATTTTTCGTTGTCAAATCATAAACAAATTGTATATATGCGAGTAAATGCCATGTATACCGGATATTCTAGGTTCTCCAAATCGTCCTGGAGTTCAGTTGATTTTTTCTACTATATAAACTAAGACTCCAATAATGTCTGTGGTATCGAAAAATGTCCAAACAGATTCAAAGTGTCAATGTGGGTTGTACCCGACCTATTGCTACGTATACAAGATGTTATAGGTTCTGAAATCATTCTGGAGATCAGATTATTTTTCTACTAGATCACCCAATCTAATTCAATATCTGTAGTATCGAAATATGCCCACACAAATTTGCAGTGTCTATGTGGATCATGCCAACCTATTTCCGTGTATGCCAAATGTTCTAGGATTTCCAAATCTGTATTTCGATACTACAGATATTATCCTAGTCTTTGTTGATTTAGTAAAACAAATCATCTGAACTGCAGGACGAGTTGGAGAACCTAGATCATCTGGTATACGTGGAAATAATTAAACATTATAGACACTATGAATCTGTTTGGACATATTTCGATACTACAGACTTTATTCCAGTCATGGTTGATCTAGTAGAATAAATCATCTGAACTCCAGAACGATTTGGAGAACTTAAAACATATGGTATACATGGCAATAGTTCATGCATGATCCACATAGACTCTGTGCATCTATCTGGAAATATTTCGATACTAAAGATATTGTCCCAATCTCGGTTGATGTAGTAGATCAAATTATCTGAACTCCAGGATGATTTGAAGAACCTTGAACACCTGGATTACTCGGAAATAGATCATGCATGATCCACATAGACACTTTGAATCTTATTGGACATTTTCCGATACTACAGACATTATTGCAGTCTTGTTTGATCTAGTAGAGCAAATCAACTGATGTCCTGGACGATTTGAAAAACCTATAATTTCCGGTATACATACTAATAAGTCGTGCATGATCCACAAAGTCACATAAATATATACGATTCGGTTATGATTTGACAACGAAAAGTGCTAGGTTCATATTAGAAAAAAATAAATAATGAAAATGTCTCACCATTGGACAGAACCCAAGGAATATCCGTGTAAATATATAACCGCGACGTGACCAACAAGTGTGACTGATGAAGCTCTGGTAATTTCTCGATTATGTGCAGGGTGTTTGGTTTGAATCGGTAAAACATTGAGAAAACTAGAGTCAAATTAACTAGGGGAAATGACGGCTTCGGCATGCCAGACTATTTTCGGCAACCCAAATTGAAACACTATTTTCACTGGATTTTCTTACGAAAACACTTCGCTGAATGCATGCAAACGATTATTTATGCTTTCAGCTTCAATTTGACTATATTTTTACCACTGAGAAAAAGCAATCTAGCAAGGTTTTCTTGAAATGAAACACACGCACTACAAATTGTAGCTGATTTCGAGTTGCCGATAATAGAACAGCAGATTTACATGCAGCTCAAATGGAACGGTTGCCGAAGAAAAACTGGTTGCCGACAATACTCGCTCTCACTAGAGAAGATTGGAGCTTTGTAAAAGCGTTTCAAAACAGTTTTTGACAATTCTTTCGACTGAAATTGTTAGAGCAGCTGGCAGCAAAAGATTGTAAACAAACCAATATTGCATATGTGTGCGTTCCTTAGAGAAAAAGGCTATAGAAAGAAGGTCGCTGCTTAAGTTGCCGAGAATACGTAAATTCCCCTACAACATTTAGGACAGCAAAATACGTCAAGAAAATTGTTTCATCAAAACTAGGCCGCTATTATTCAATAGAATCTCATAATGTAAGGGTGTTTTATTATGTTCACCAATTACTCAGAATTTATACTATACATAAATAACTGAAGATGATACAATGTAATTTAAAAAAAAATAAAGGTTACAAACGATACTCCTTTAGCTCAGTCGGTAAAGGCGCAGCTACAAAGCAAGTCCATGCTGGAGGCGACTGATTTCGATTCACGTCCGGTCTTTTAATTTTTCGGCTTGGAAAAATTCTCTACTTTCTTGGGCATAGGATGGTACGGGCATAGAAAGCTCTCAATTAAAATGTGAAAGTACTTCAAAGAACACTAAGTTGAGAGCAGGCAAAAATCTAATATGCTATAAGCTTGAAATGCCATGTAGTAGTATACAAATGCTATGTTCAGGCAATGGATTTTTTTTGGCGCTGATTAGTATTTGAAGTCGCGGATTTATTTTCAAAAATCGCGGATTTCGCGGATCAAATTTAGAAAATCTTGTAACAGCCCTGCGAATGCTGCAGTACTGATCACCAGGAAGAGTTTTGTAATTAAATTTAACGTATGATTAATCGTCCATAATCACGCACACCGCATAGACGCGAAGTATAGCGTACTTTTCGTTGAGCAACGAACTTTTCAGTCTCGAAGCACTTAATATTAAATTA